TGGCGCGTTGACACGGGAGGCTGCTGTTGTGGGTGCAGTTTGTTGGCTCGTTGGGTCTTCTTTGTCTTCCACTGGTGGTGGCGAGTGACCGTGCTGCCACGAGCAAATGCTGCCGCGGCGTTCTGGTTTGTTGCGTGGGAACTCGGGCGACGCCGCAAGGGCAGCGCGGCGCTGGTCGTCGCCGAGGCGACATATTGTGCAACATGGCTTCCCTCTCCGCCTTCGCAGGGGGGGGGTGCTGCTCGCGGGCCGGGGCTGGTGCCCCTATCCCTGGGTCGCGTAGGAGCACGCCGACGTTCGTGGTCTGGGCGTGCGCGAGAACTCTCATGAGGCCGAGGTACAAAAGGGTGCCGAACCGAAGCTGACAGACTCTGGCGCGCTGCGGGCTAGGCGGGCGCCGCTGAGCCAAATGCTGCGGGCGCGTGCTATACGAGCGCAGGTAAGCTACAGCCGTCGGCAACCCCTGGACGACGGCAACGAACGGAAATAAGCAAATCACGAGCCCCTGGCTATAGCTATCTCAAGCAGGCGTCGATGCGGATTCAAAATCCCTCGATGCCTGTACCCTCAAATGGGGCGAGCGGGCGATCTCACTGCAGGTTGTTTTTTTTCAGTGGCGGCGATCCCTGATGAGGCGATCGTAGCCGTTGGTGCTTTGGGGGGATCAGCATCGGCAGGGGCATGCATCTCGACTTTGGCAATGGCCCATGGGGTGGTGGAGCCGTGAACGTGGAGTGCAGCGTTTGGTGGGGGAGGGGGTCGCCGCCGTGACTATGGCGAAATCGCCCGCTCTCCGTTGGTCCTTGTGGTCGGCCTCCTCCTCCTGCTGCCTCCTCCTCCTCCTCCTCCTCCTCCTCCTCGCCCCTCCTCGCCCCTCCTCCTCCTCCTCCTCCTCCTCCTCCTCCTCCTCCTCCTCCTCCTCCTGCTCCTCCTAATCCTCCTGGCTTCTCACACTGTCGCGAGATGGATGCCAGCACCTCGGTGGCTTGCGTCCTGGAGGCGCCCTGTGGCTCGGTGCCCGCGAAGCGCTGCCTGGCGTTGGCGAGCGCGCCGTCGGCCCCCCCGCAGTTCCAGGGCGAGTTGCCTCGCTTCCCCGTTGTCGGGTTCGGCTATGGTGCACATTTTTTCCCAAAGTGAACGGCCCAGTGCGCTGTGTGTTGGGTTGAGGTGCCGTATGCTTCCTGAGGCCTGGTTGGGTGGCCAGCTGGGTACTGCGCGATGATGCAGTCACTGGGCGGGGGGGCCTTTGGTGCCGTGGCAGCTGCTGTCGAACTGAACGCCTCCTTGCGCTGAGGCAGCGAGAACCGTGGGCACGTCTGCGCTCGTTCCCGAAGACGGCCGTGAGCTTGCGCTTGCCGACTGTTGTGCCGTGGCGACCTGGGATTTGCATGGCCTCTTGCACTTGTGCAATACGGAAGCGGGTCGCGAACGCGGTTGCGAACGCGTCCGTGAGGTCGTCATCGAGCCGTGCGCGGTTGCGAACGCGTCCGTGAGGTCGTCATCGAGCCGTTTGCGCGCGACGTCCCGTTTGGTTGGTGCGTGGCATTATCTGGCCGCGCGCGGTGCCGTGCTTGGTCCGTCTGGGAAGCGGTTGTTGTTGGTGGGCGCAGCTCCTGAGCATTGAGCCGCGAAGAGTTCCTCGAGTGCGGGCGTGACCGCACTGGCCTCTGCCTCGCAGATATCGACGCAGATCCAGACGACGGCGCCCGCTGGGTCAAGGCTGGCTCGGGCGACGTTCTAGCGGCACGTTCCTCTCTCCGCCCGACGTTCTAGATGGCCCCCTTGGGCGTGTCGTGTCGCGGCGTAGGGTTTTGTAGCCTCGGCCGCGCGGCCAGGAATCGGGGTTTGGGATTCTTTTCTTCTTGGGTCGGCGGTGTTGAATGGCCCTTGGCATCGCTCGGACGTGTGCACTTTTTCTCGGCGAGAACCATCGAGGACCACCCTGGACCAGCGAGCAAAAAAAACACGCACGAAATCAAACAAATACACGGGGAATGGACGTCCGAGCCACGGCAAGGGCCCAGGACGGCAAGCGCCATAGGCTCATCTGGTGTATAGACCTGCTGTAGTAGCCAGCCGCCTTCCTCTTGCGTGTGGAGTGACATGCTACTGGCGCACGAGGTCCCGTCGCCTTCTCTGACAGGCGCGGTGGTAGCGGGGACGTCCCAGTCTGCGCATCGAGGCTGATGAGAAGGACCCTGCTTTTGCCCTGGTGGGCTTCGGCGTGGACCGCGTCTCCTACTGGCGGTGGATCACGTTATGAGGCCTTGGTGCACATGAGGGAGCAGTGCAGCATTGTGTGGCAGATCTAGAGTTTCCTGCACCAGCGCATTAGCTCGCTCCTGAGCCTGCGTCGGTCGGAGCGGTGTCATTGGTAAACGGTATCGCCGTCGGTGTGATGCGAGCGAGTTCATCGTAGACGCCGATTGCTCGGCCGACGCCACCGCTGCCCTTGAGTGCGGCGACGCAGGCTTCCTTCCGACTGAGGTTGGTGTCTTGACGAGATGTTAAGGTAGCTATTGGCGGCTTTCACCTAGTGGTTTGGGCTGTTGTGTGCGCGGAGCTGACGGGATTTGACGCCAGTCTGTCGCGGCCTGGAATGGGATGGGCCGCGCCCGGTCTCGCGAGGACAGGATAGGTTGCGGGGCGCTTGGCGTCGCGGCTGCGCACTGGTCAGGAAACCGCGAGCCGAGACTCGAAAGGGAGAGAGAGAGAGAGAGAGGCATATCTGGGGGATGAACGCGGAGGGTTCGGAAAGGCCACGCGAAGTCAATGGCCGCTATGAGTTGGCCGAGCCCCCTGCGACTGATCGAAAACAATTGGCAACGCAAGGAGGGTCTTGGTCTTGCGGGGTTCATGTGGTGAGGAAGCCTTCCCAGCCCCTCCTGTCCTCCCTCCTCCTCTCTTCCCTCTTCTCTCCTTTCGCCTCCTCCCATATTCTCTCCTCTCGTCTTCCTCTCCTCCTCCCAATTCCCCTTCACCTCCCCTCTTCGGGCGAACATCGATATTCTAACCTCGATCCTCGATCCTCGATCCTCGATCTTGGACCCATCGAACTTCGAACCTCAAACGTCGATCCTCAAACTTGAATCGTCGATATTCGATCACCTCACCAATTTCCCTCCCTCTCTGGCCCGGCCCGTCTTGGGAGCGGTTCTGGTTCTTTGTGTTGGGCATTGGCCCCTCAGTCAATTCAGAGGGTCAGATGTCATGATAATCGTGCAGTTCAGTATCCGAATCAGAAGCAACATCATAAACACAATTTTTCGGAGCTCCGCGCGGATTTCTTGGATCGGCGCTGGGCCCCCCCCGCGACGCCTCTGGCGCCTCCCCTGGCGCGCTCCGCGCGCAGCGCGGATCCAAGACACCCTCTTGGGCCTCAAACACCTGTGCTTATGCCGCTGTTTGCCGCTTCACAGATGCTCCAGATCTCCTCGGTTTCTCAGGCTTCCCGCATTGCCAAGAGTTCCTACATCCCTCGTCGAAATTGAACGCAAGTTTTAGCCGCGACCTGGCGGCGCCCCCCGACCTCCAGTTTCAATGTTCACGCCGACGCCGGCGACTTCGAGACTTTCTTCGGACCCCGCCGGCCGCGAGATGCGCCTGTCGATGAACATTGAAATGTGGGGGCGACGGGGGTGGACAAAAACTTGCGTTCGATTTCGACGATGGTTGTGGCCTGTGCCGTGCGGGCGGCAGCGAAAACGAGGGCGCCCGATGTCCGAGCGGGCCCCTGCGCGCGCTCCGTGCTGCGCTCCGGGCTGGCCCGGGCGGGCGGCGCCTGCTCATGGCGCGGCGCCCCGTGCGTGGCGCGCGGCTGCCGAGAGGCAGGGCTCGCAGGCGCGGTGCCACGGCCCCGTGGCCAAGGCACGGCGTGGCGTGGCCCTCGGCCGAGGCTGGCTCGGCGTGGCCACGTGTCTGGGCGCGTACCACGTCGTCACCGCCCCGCGTACGCTCAACGCGCCTACTTAGTAAGGACGCGCGCCTTCATCTAGGGTACCCTTGTGTCCTTGCCTCCAAGGGTCTTGCGTCCTTACCTCGCGTCCTTACTGTACGTTTTGACTGTTACGCAAACAAGCGATCTCCCACATGGGCCAGGCCTGGCGTCTTCGCTCGCAGTGGGCCAGGGGCGACGGGCGTCGTCACCAGTGTTGGGCTGGTGTAGGCAATGCTGTTTGAGCGGCGTCGTCTCAAGTATTGGGCAAGTGCATAGGTTGTGCTCCCATGTGCGCTGGCTACGGAAGCCGACCCCCATCCCCCGTAATGACAAGCCGAGGGCTGCGCCTCGCTGGCATTTGTGCAGCAGCTGGCCCATGCTTGGAACCGTGCCTGCAGGGCGGATGCATGACTGGCTGCGCGCCTGACTTCGGGATGAGCACATGGTGGATGCCAGCACCCGGCGCCGCTCCCTGCGGCCTCGTGGAGATCAATGATTTCTTTCAGAGATCAGGGCTCACCTGCACAGTTTTTTACTATAATTCGCGGGTCGAGAGCGCACCTCTTCCAGTCGAAGCTAAGCGGGCCGCGCGAAGCTTGAATTAACAAAGAAGGGGGGAAGGGAAGGAGACCAGCCTCTTGGCGAGGCCAGGAGGAGGCAAAGCCTCGGGATCAGGCGGTGCCGAAAACGACGTGCTTGCAAAGGAACGCCTTGTACAGGAACCCGGTGGCGGGGCTCGCCCGCACAGACGGAGCCAGGGCCTGCCGCTCACGGCCCTGAGGCCGGCCGATGTAAACGGTTGCGAGGGCTGCAGAAAAAAAGTGGCCCTGATCGGGCCCCAGATGGCCCCCAGGCGGCCACCGCGGGCCCGCAAAAGGTGCACGAAAATGTGCACGACAGGCGCACACTTCAGCGCACCACGTCTGCTGTTCCTCCTCCTCCTCCTCCTCCTCCTCCTCCTCCTCCTCCTCCTCCTCCTCCTCCTCCTGACACCCGAGATCGGCCCAGACCGAGCCAGTCTGCGGCCTGGCACGCGCGGGCGCGGGCGGCCGGCCCCGCAAAGGTGGCGGGCCACGGCTCCAGCTGCAACCAGGGCTACCAGCCGAAGGGCAACATGTTCGCGGGCATCCCTGGTGCGCCGCTGGGGAGCTCCTCTTCGGCCACCGTGACTTAGGAGCTTTTGCATAGCGTGTCGCGCCGCCGGTTCTGGCCCAGCGCGCTTCGGCGCCAAACGCCAACCACGTCCCAGTCCCCAAGCGTCAGCGTCCAGAGCTTTTCCCAGCCTCCCGCCCCGCAGACCGGAGCGACACGCTATGAGCTCGCAGGGCGTAGCGTGTCGCCGTGGCCGCCGCGGCGACACGCTAAACACAAGTTCCTGGCCTCATGGCCGCAGTCGAGTAGTCTGGGGGGAGAGCGGACGCATGAGGGTGCATCGCCGGCTCACATCTGTCACAGGCTTCGGCATATTCTATGCCAGCATGAGTTCGCCTCCCAGGCCTTGCTCCCTCAGTCCCGCTAGGCGGCTCGTGCTGCTCTTCACACACGTATATATATATATATTATATATATATATATATATATATATATATATTATATTATGTATATATATATAGTAATGAGAAGAATAATGATAATGATGATAACGATAACAATAATAATAACAATAATAATAATGATAATAATACTAATGATAATAGTAATCGTAATAATAATACTAATATAATGATAATACTAATAAAAATGTTAATAATAATCATAATACTACCAATAATAATGATACTACTAGTAGTAATAATAATCATAATATGAATAATAATAGTAAATCCAGTAAGCATTTGCGAGCTTGGTTGCTTTCCTCCTCTCCCCCCTTCGTCCTCCTCCTTCTCCTTCTCGCTCTCCTGTTGTGAGGGCCTCTTGCGTCCGCCAGTCCTTGTAGTTATTCACGGAACTCAGAACAGCCCGTCTTAAGTCCGTTTTTGGGGCTGTTCACGCTTGTTCTGTCAGTGCCGTACCAGATGGTTAGTTTTATTCGGATAAGACGTTTGTATTTCCCTCTTGGTGCAACTGGTCTTGCACCGATTCCGTGACACACGCATGTGCCTTGCTATGCGAGTCCAGAGTTTATGCTTTGGGCCTGGCAGGCTGCGTGGGGAGTGCATGTGGTGCGTCGCGGTCGCCTTTTTCCTCTCCTTCCTTCGCCTCCCATAATTATCCGCTGGTATCGATAAAAAATGCGGCCACCATCGAATATAGGAGTGACATCTTGCACGGCACGATGCACATCATGGAAGAAGAGTTAAAGAACAGGGATTCATCGATACAGTTCAAGAGGCTCTTTGCTGAAGCCTTGTTCGTGATCAACGTCTTCACCTTCTACAGCGGCAAATCATCGTAAAACGCTTTACTTGGACGCCAACATGCATGTGTACCTGACTTAAACCTGCCTGATCATGATGCGCCGCCGGAAAGCGTCTGACCATAGCAAGGGACAGCAGGTGCGCCAAATAAGCGTAGAGGCCATCATGCAGGCAAGTGCAATCGAGTCTTGAAAACAACCACCAGAGATGCTGAACAGCATCGCTACAAACCTGGCGACCTAGTTGACTACGACCTACAGCGAACAAGGACGACTGGGGAGGACGGAGTGGACCATTCCCAGCACTACGCAATATACCTGATCGAGGACAAGTTGTAGTATACTAGCCGGCACTGGAGAAATCATTGTACAATGCCCGGACGTCCGACAATCGCTTGCCTTAGAAGCTCTAGTGGTACGTGAATTTGGATCCGACAAAGCTGCCATGCGTACAGTGGTTTCCTTCATTGCTGGTTTCGCTGCTGGGCAACCAGCTACAACATCCGGTTCAACCCCTGATTCGCGAGGCAACTTGCACACGACGATCGAAGGCAATATGCATCCAAAGGTACATTTTGCATTACAATACCTCATTCGGAATTGTTTCAGGATCGAGAATGTTGACGCAATACGCCTCGCAAAGACTGTACACAAGCTACCTCATTACGCACGCGCTAACAGCAGTACGCTCGTACATAACGACAACGACGTGAATATTGAATTCCACTACTATGAAACAGATGGGGCCGCCCTGAATATCTGAGATATCACGGGTGGTACCCGATCCAGGATCATACAATGGCTTAAGTCATCCAAACCTTTAGCTGGATTTGGCCGCGGCAACCTTAGGAACTAGCCGACGGTGGCCCAGGCAATGATCAAGAATAGCAGCCGCAGGGAAACAATGCCGCAGCACCACCGGCTGGACATGACACGGGTCGAGTCCCAAAAAATCTGAGGGGGACTTGGATGCACGCGTCATGGAGGATTGGTACAAAGAGCTCAAGGATGAAAATGAATTACAGTATGCAGAATCCTTGGAAAGCCATTTAAGGTGCAGCTCCTTGTACCGTGCCGACGCAATGGTACCAGACGAATGCGCCCTGGTCTCTGCGATGTGTTATTAGCAAGGTAGCTTGCCTACTGAGCCTGGTGACAGGCCAGAAGGTGACCTGGAATCGCACGCTACGCCTGTGCATTTGTGCGAGTACGATAACAGCTACACATTGGGCACCGATTGCCAGGGAGGGTTTGTAGAATTATGTTTTACAGCAGACATGGCAACAGTTGTATTCTCGGAACAACAACGCCGCTTGTTGAACGGCGCGGACATAGCCACGATCAGGGTACACGTCGCTACGGCGTCCAAGCAGGTTGCAGTTGTAAAAGTGGATGACCCATAGACCGGGGCAGAGATCCAAGCAAACCCTTTGAAGGCATCGAAAGCCCCCTGCACTGAGCTACGCATCTGGCACGATAGCTATTGTTTTCGCAAGCGCTGGTTCGCAGAAGCTGCTAATGTCATGGCACCTCGTTTCGCGCGCGCATTGAAACTCGCCGAAAATGGGAAGAGAGAAGTGGGGCGCGCGATGCATCTTCCGCGCTGCGAGGCCCCATGGGCGTCGAGGCTTTCGGTGTCGAGACCTTCTCTGGCGCAGCGCGCAGAGCTAATCGGGGGCATGTG